TTGCCAGGCAGGTGCTTAGACTGCCAAGCTATCTACCTGGCCCTATTTATTTATTTTTACAATTATGTATGTATGTATATATGTATTTATTTATTTGGTACAGGGTCTTGCTACGTGGCTCAGACTCCCGCCAAGCTATCTCCCCAGCCCACATTACTTTTTTAGTATCTACCGATCTATATTTTTGTGGTACTGGGAATTGAAACCCAGGACCTTTACACTACTATCTTGATCTATTTGTTTGTCTGGTTAGTTGGTTTATTTTTTGTTTGCTCTTTGAGACAGGGTCTCACTATGCAGTTCAGTTCAGGCTAGCCTTGAACTTACTATGTAATGTAGGCTGGCCTCAAGTTCATTTTGATCCTTCTGCTTCAGCCTCCCAAGTGATGGACTTGTACTTGTGACCCTCCTCCTTCAGCCTCCCAGAACTCTGGGATTATGGCACATGCCACCATTTCCGGTGTTTATTTTTTTAAATTATAAAGAAAAGTTTTATTTTAGCTCATGGCTCTTTCCAAGGTCAAAAGGCTACATCTGGTGAGTTTTTTCTTGTTGTCAGAGTCCCACAGCATCTCAAGATATCATATGGTGAGAGGAAGCAGAGTGTACCTTGTTTCCTTTTTTTTCCTCTTCCCATAATTTTATTGAGAAACAAATAGCAACAAGACAGTTTCAAATCAAATTGGTAGGACAGTTCAATAATTAACACATTGCATACTCTCTTCCTAGAGGTTATTTGCTGTACAAGATACAGACATGATATCCTATTTACAAACACTATTAGAACAAATCCTTCTATTCATTAAGAGAATGTAACTACATGTCTGTCCTAACCAGTACCTTGTTTCCTGACTTAAGAGATGTATGATGATCTAGTTTAGCAAATAAAATATGTTTGGCCCTTTCTTTGAAATAAGGTTAAGAATGCATTTAATTTCACAGAGAGCAAATTGATCAAGCAATGGCCGTGACTCATCCTCATGTCAGGCACTGACAAAAGGATGTACAAAGGGCGGTAGAGGGCTACAGGATAAATCCTGAGAGTACTTGGCTGACCTTATCAGATATAAAAGTTACATTTCTTGGTATATAGGTCTTGCTATATCTTGGTCTTAACCATCCAGCAGAAAAGTATAAAAATGCGGTATATAAAGTAAATCCAGGGGCTGGTGAGATGGCTCAGTGGTCTGGAGCACCTACTTAGAACAAGCTAAGCTAAGCAAAACACAGGGACCGCGGTTCAATCCCCCAAATTCAATAAGGAAGAGGTGTACTAACAGTGTTTGGACAGAATATCCTGTCTGCTTCTTGTACTATGGAAGAAGCAGACATTGTTATCTAAGAAGATAACAATGTACAGTGTATTGATTATCAAAACTGTCCTAGTAATCAGCTGTGAAACTGTCTCATTCATATTTATTTCTCAATTAAAAAATAAATAAATAAAATACTTTGCTGACTGAAAAAAAAAATGCATTTAAAGATTCCTGCTGTCCCAGTTGTCCAGTGGCCCGTGCATGACCATCCCACTGGGCTGCTTGGACCACTGTTGGCAGAAGTGGTACAGTTGTGCATGGGACAGTCATGCATGTGCTCCGCTGGTTCAAGCCACCTGACAGTGAGACAGACTGCAGCCCCATCACAAATGTGTTAAAAAACTTAAATCTTGGGCCGGGAATATAGCAGTGGCACAGTGCCTGCCTGGCAAGCACAAGGTCCTGAGTTCAATTTCTGGTACAAAAAGAATCCTTAGATCTCAAGTTGCAGATTTCCTAACAAAATAAGAATTCAGGGCCAGTGGGATAGCCCAGCAGTCTAAAGCACCTACTTAGGCAAGCTTAGGCAAGCCTAGGGGAACCATGGTTCGATCCTTGACACCACATGCTGCACCAGCCCTGCTCCCAGCAAGGGCTGAGCCGGCCACAAAAAAATAAAACAAAAAAAGAATTCAGATGCACCTTGCTCCCCTGAGGATGTCTGCTGAGAAGCTGTCAGATTGTGGTGGTGGTTATGGTTTTATGTGTAAGAGCTGAACTGGGAAAGTATTTTCAAAATGCTGGTGAAGTAGGATAGTGAGCGTCTTTTTCTTTTCAGGCAGGGAACAGAAATATGAAGATGGAATTGCCTTGCTGAGGAACGCATTGGCTAATCAGAGTGACTGTGTCCTGCACCGCATCCTGGGAGATTTCCTTGTAGCTGTCAATGAGTATCAGGAAGCCATGGACCAGTACAGCATAGCGCTGAGGTCGGCACTCGCCTCCTTTGGGGAGTCAGACGAGGGTGGCTGCAGCAGTCGGGGCAGAGGGGCGTGCGGCAGCACAGATCCACTCTGTGCCCACAGCTGAAACAGCAGTACTCATAATGGCAGAAAAATTATTTGTGAATTCATGATTTCTACATTTTTTTTCTCAAAGCATATTAACAGTGTTAAAGAACTGTTTGACTCGCAGCCTACACCTGTATAACATCCATGCTCATCGTGCAGCTCTTCCTGTCCTTGCCCACACATGCATATTTTTATAGGGTTATACTGAGTATATATTTTCTATTCCACTTTTTCAAATCAGAGTATTTCAAGTACTTTCTCATGTTTCTACCTATTGTAGCAGTTAAGAACTTGAGCTCTGAGTTTGAATGCTGCCTTCACTCTTATCTTGAACACATTACTGACATATTTCCTTGCCTCTGAACACTTCATGTGGTACTCAGTAATTGAGGATTAAATGATTATTCCATTTAAAGCTCTTGGCACTGTGCCTAGTACATAGTAAATATGAAGTAAGTAGTGGCATTTGGACTGTTTGATACACCAGTGATTTCTTCGAGGGTTGTCTGTGTGTCTGAAGTTACCATGAGGGCTCAGCATAATTGGGTCTGGTCTCTTCTACCTACCCAGTGGTAGCAGACTGCTGCAGGGCCATGTGCCTGGTGTCTCAGTGACCACTGGGGCTGCTGCGGTTCCCAGAGCTCTCTGTGGCAGACGGGCGCCTGACTGCAGCCACCTGTAGAGGGCGTGGGGCAGCCCAGAGGACAAGAGCCCTGGTTCGGGTGAGACCCACACAAAATGTTTCTGAGGAGAGATGTGACAGAGCAACCTATACTGATATAAATAAGAACAGGAATCCAGTGTGGGTTTTAGCTGTTTTTTGGGAATCAAGAAACTGAAAAAGTAAAGTAGCACTTCATTAGAGGTGTGTTTTGCTAAGGATGGGACACTTGCTAGGTTGGGTGGTCCTGAAGCCAAGTAAATGAGTGTTCTGGAGCTGCTGAGCCTTGCAGAGGTTGGCACGGGCCTGGGTGCGAGCAGCCGCAGGTCCCAGGTCTGACCTAGGTGCTTAAAGTTCCACGGTGCAGCACATTTTAGTGGATGGACAGCTGAGCTCTGCTACTGGTATATTTCCTTGGGTCATAGGAACATGGAACAATCAACCCACAGAAGAATAACTTTTTGTAATGCTATTGCTCAAAATTTGTCTATTTTTAAGAAATTACATTTGAACTTTTTTTTTTTTAATTTATTTATGTGTGTGTGTGTGTGTGTGCGTGTGTGTGTGTCTGTGTGTGGCCAGCTCAGCCCACCAGGGGCGGGGCTGGCTGGCATGTGGTGCTGGGGGATTGAACCGCAGTCCCTGTGCTTTACCAAGCTTGTTCCAAGTAGGTGCTTTAGACCACTGAGCCATCTCACCAGCCCCTACATTTGAACTTTTCTCATAATGTTTGTCACTTTCATTTGTTATAGCTGGTGACCTCCTCTAGTGGCATGCTAGGGGCAACAGGTGCGAAAAGGTTTAAGAAATTGACAGAGAGGGCCGGGGAAATGGCTCAGTAGAATAAGCGCTTGCCTGGCAAGCGCAAGGACCAGAGTTCGATCCCTGGTTCCACAAAAAAAAAAAAAAGAAAGAAAGAAAGAAAGAAAGAAAGAAAGAAAGAAAGAAAGAAAGAAAGAAAGAAAGAAAAAAAGAAAAGAAATTGGCAGAGAAAAGCTCAAATTAAGAACTCACAAAATGGGGCCGGGGAGATGGCTCAGTAGAATAAGCGCAAGGCCTGAGTTCAATCCCTGGTCCCGAAAAAAAAAAAAAAAAGGACTCATGAAATGAGGGCTGGTGAGATAGTTTGGTAGTCTAAGTGCCTGCTTGGCAAGTGCAAGGACCTGGGTTTGATCCCTGGTACAGCATGCCCTGCCAGCCCTGGAACCCAGCCACCGAAACTCGGCCTCGTGGCACACATCTGTAATCCCAGTGCTAGGGAGGATCATTATGAGTCTGAGCTTCATAGGGAGACCCTGTACCAAATAAATAAGTACATACATAAAAGATTTTTTTTTTTTTTTTTAAAAAAGGACTCACAAAATGAGGAAAAGATGCCTTTTTCACTTTGGGTGTGGATGCCCATGGTCAAGCCTTGCAAGCTGGCATGGCCCAGAAAGGCCAGGACTTAGCAGCTTCTGTGTGACTGTGCTCGTTCACTGCCAGACCAGCTAGATGACGAATCAGCCAGCAAGAAGCAAGGCAGAGATTCAGGCCTCTCCTCTGTTTTGTTGTCTCCTAGTTTGGACCCTAATGACCAGAAGTCTCTAGAGGGCATGCAGAAGATGGAGAAGGAGGAGAGCCCCACGGATGCCGCTCAGGAGGAAGACGTGGACGACATGGAAGGGAGTGGGGAAGAGGGGGACTTGGAGGGCAGCGACAGTGAGGCGGCCCAGTGGGCTGACCAAGAGCAGTGGTTCGGCATGCAGTGAGGGAGGACAGGGACTCTCGCACATGTGGTGAGTGCTGGTGGCAGGCACCCTGTCCCTCTCTGAGCACTGGTCAGGACTTCAGTTGACCACCAGCAAGCCAGCCTGCCTTCCTCCAGCCAGGGAGGACCCAGGAGACTACAGCTGCAGCCTTGCCAGGCCAGGCCAGGCTAGGGGCCTGTGGCGCACTAACTGCCACACCCAGCACCTGGAGCGCTAGACGGTGGTTGTCTGTGATGCAGAAGGGTCTGAAGGAGTGGCCCGCCTTCCCAGAGTGAGAGCTCACCTCCTGGGGACTGAGGCTTTCCTGCTCCCAGAAGTCATCCTTCTGCGTGTCCCCTGGGGACCAGCTGCCTCCTGCATTGGTACCAATGCCTTAAGCCAGCGGAGTTTACCCTTCACCATGCTGGCATCTTGCCTTGACCTGGGCCAGCTTGAGACGTGGGCGTGACTCGTGCACCAAGGCACATGGGGCAGTTAACTAATAAAAGTGGTTTGTACAGTCACTGGGGGAGGCCTTTCAGAAATGCTTACATTTCCTTTTGTCTTAGAATACAGTGGTTGGGCTGGGGAGGTGGCTCAGTAGAATAAGTGCTTGCCTGGCAAGCTCAAGGTCCTGAGTTCAATCCCTGGTACCACAAAAAAAAAAAAAAAAAAAAAAGAATGCAGTGGTTGCTGGCAGGTGTGATAGCTCAGCAGACTAAGTGCCTGCTTAGGCAAGTGCAGGGACAGTTTCAATCCCTGGCTCCACATGCCACGCCAGCCCCAACCCCAGGTACGCTGAGCTGGCCACCAGACCAGGTGTGGTGGTACACACCTGTACTCCCAGCACTGAGGAGGCTGAAAACAGGAGGTTCACTATGAGTCTGAGCTGTGTAGTGAGGCCCTGTACCAGATACATAAAAGAATGCAGTGGTTGGGCCCCAGTATTATTTGCCCCAGATTCCATTTCTCAGAGTTCTTGGAGCCTGCGGGGGTTGAGGGCTTTAGGTCAAGGTTTAGCATCTGTCCCAGCGCCCCGTGAAATGAATGCTGGTCTCGTGCCTGGTTGTGCGTGCTGGGAGACAGTGGCCCTCACCCTTGCTGTTTACAATACAGGCGGGAACCTTTGGAGTTTGCAGTTGGTAGTGAAGGAAGAGGAGGGCCTCAGAGCCAGCCCCAGGTTTTTATTACACATAATTAGAGGTGCTGTAAAATGTGAATTTGATGTTAAGGGGAAACAATCCCCTAAAGGTAAAGATACACAGTGGGCAGTGGCTTAGGAGCTCAGACCATCTAAGAAGTTCAGGGTAGAATGGCAGTTATGTGACAGCTTGCCATATGAGGCCCAGACCCTCACAGACCCTTGGTCTGTGCCAGCTCTAAGGAGGCCACCATGTGGGCAGGTCGTCCTGGGCCTGTGTGGCCAGGACAACTGCCCACCCCTGTGCCCACTCCTAGGATGCCTCATGGCTTCCTCAACTCTGCCAGTCTGTGCTTTTAAGAAGAGGCGAAAGCTTACTTCCCTGATTCTGGGGGACCCCAGGCCTCCCTTTCCTTGCTGTCCCTCCGCTCTGCTGCTGGGTCCCTGGCCCTTTCCACTTGCAGTTCCACAGAATCTCCTCAGGAAAGGACCACAGTGCAGTGGCTGTTCCCGAGGCAGCCCACGCAGGGATCACTGAGGGTTTTTGGCAGTTGTCTGTCATCTCTACCCAGCTCAGGCCAGACGGCTGCCACGTGCTTGGCTGTGCGGCCCTGGGGCTGAGGCTTCAGTGAGCCAGGGAAAGACTGCTCATGGTGCCGTGGCGAGTTGTGCCTCTGCCCCGGGCCTCAGGCCTTCTCAGCCTACATGTTCTTTCCTCCCAGGTTCCCTGCTGAGCAGGAAGGCAGACCCGGATTTGGGGTGCTTCCTGCCCTCCAGTGTGAGTGCTCCATTCTCCATTCTGAACCTGTGGGACCTGGTCCTTAGTGAAAGCTGTGGGAGGGTCACCCTTGTGCTTCTGGATTCCTCCTCAGAGTGAGGCCAGCTTCTGCCCAAGTCTAGCTGTTAACCTCGAGGCCACGTCTCCATGATGCCAGTTGCCAGCCACAGCTCCAAGCACTCATTTTAGCCTCGGGGAGGACCTGGGAGCTGTGGTCACATGCACGCGGACGTCCCAGCCTCTGCAGTTTTTCTGGACCAAGTCTCCCCTGAGATGCCCACAGGGGAGGGGTGGTGGCTGCTCTCAGGTACCCAGGAGTCATAGGCCCAACTTTGTGGGCCTGGTGGCTTCCTCTGCAGCCACCTTTGTGTAGGAGACCCCTGCGGCCCCTGGCTCACCTGCGGCCAGCTCGGGCCTGTATGGAGCCGATTCTTGGGCTCCGGTGCCCACTCTGCCTGTGACCAGCCTTGGGGCTCCTGCTTGGGCTTGCCGGGCTGCGGCTGCATCACCCATGGACAAGAGCCAGCGAGGCCAGACTGCACATGCTCGGGGAGGCTGCTGAGTGAAGTTCCTTCCAGTCATCCCCGTCTGCAGGCACCTCCCTGCCCCAGGGCGGCCTGCGGCTGGGCCTGGCATGGGGCGCCTCAGCCCAGGGCAAACTGCAGACCTGCCTCACGAGTCCTCGCCAGGCCAGGGCACAGCCTTGTCCCAGACGGCCTGGGAGGGTGGCAGTAGTTGGCAAAGCACGTCGCTTTTCACAAACCGAATGGCACAGTGACAGCAAGAATAAGCCAGAGCCCTGCAAGTCAGTTTTCTTAGCCATTAAAACATTAAGAATAAGGAGATCCTAAGGGCCAGCAAGATAGTTCAGTGGACTAAGCGCCTGCTTTGGCAAGCACAGGGATCCCCAGTCCTGCATGCTGCAACCCTGGGCGCACTGAGCTGGTGACCAAGTCCGGGTGTGGCGGTGCACGCCTGTAATCCCAGTACTGGGGAGGCTGAAAATAGGATCACTGTGAGTCTTGAGCTGCGTAGTGCACCCCTGTACCAGATACATAAAATAAGACAATAGACCCAGGTGGGAACGCAGAACGGTGCAGCGTGGTAGAGCAGCGGACTCTTGGTGTAACAGCCTGTAGCTGAGTGGCTCGTGGCCTCTTGACCTGTGGCTTGAATTTCTGACCTGTCCTTCTTTTGTCCAATTGTGTACATCTAGTTTATAGAGCCTCATCCTCCTTTTGTACAGTACACCATTTATTGCAGTACTGTAACTTGATTTACTGTACTGTCTAGAACTCTGCAAATAAAAGCAAAGCCATCACGGCCGTCTCCCGCGTGGGGAGCGCTTAGTGTACACACTGCTTACAGTTGCTCGTGGAGCCAGCCCAGCCACAGGAACAGGGCTCGGTCATCACACAGGGGATGTCTGTATCCAGCCTACAGAGGGGAGGAAACTCAGATACCACGTGACAGCCCTTGACGTCATGGTAAATGTAAGAAGCCACTCAAAAGGGTGGCGGTCATGTTGGGGCAGGTACTTAGAGTAGTCAAATTCAGAGACAGGAAGTAGACTGGAGGTTGCCAGGGGCAGGGGGCAGGGAGCTCCAGCCAGAAATGTTGACAGGTTCTGGGGGTGGAGGGTCCCGGGGGTCTGTACGGTGTGGATGTACATAAGGCCACTGAGCTGCACTCTTACAAGTGGTTCACATACCAATTAATTTTTTTAATTTTATTTATGTGTGTGTGTGTGTGTGTGTGTGTGTGTGGCCAGCTCAGCCCACCAGGGGGCGGGGCTGGCTGGCATGTGGTGCTGGGGGATTGAACCGCGGTCCCTGTGCTTTACTAAGTTTGTTCTAAGTAGGCGCTTTAGACCACTGAGCCATCTCACCAGCCCTTACCAATTATTTTTTAAGACAGAGTCTCCCTGTGCAGTGCAGGCTGGCCTTGAGCTAGAGATCCTACCTGCTTACCCTCCAGAAGGCTGAAATTATGGGCGTGTGTCACCATGCCTGGCTCAAATCTTACATTTTAACACACAAAAAGTAAAGATCTGAAGATCGTCTTTGTTGTCCCAATATCTGCCAGGAATATTTAAGCATAATAACCTCAACGAAATACTAGCAAACAGCCAGGCATGGTGGTGCATGCCTGTAATCCCCGCACTTGGGAAACTGAGGAAACTGAGGCAGGAGGATCACTGCAAGTTGAAGGCCAGCCTGGGCTGCATAGTGAATTCAAAGCCAGCATGAACTGCATCTTGAGACTCTCAAAAGGAACAAGGGCTGGCCAGATAGCTCAGTGGACTATGAACTAAAGCCCTGCTTAGGCAGAGCTCAGGGACCGGCTTTGGTCCCTGGCGTGCCCCCGGGTCACTGAGCCGACAATAGAGAAGGCATGGTGGCGTGTGCCTGTAATCCCAGCACTTGGGAGTCTGAAAGCAGAACGATCACTACAAGTCTGATATGTGTAGTGAGACCCTAAAAAAAGGGAACAAAAATTCGAACAGCATGATATAAAATTAAAAATACATCTGGTTCTCAATCTACTGGCTCTTTGTCTCCTCCCACATAAGGTGAGCTGGTTCTTTGTAAAAACAAGTTTGTAAGGGCCAAATAGCTCAGTGGATTAAAGTGCCTGCAAGCGGGCGCAGGGGCCCGGGATTCGATCCGCAGGTCTGCTGGGCCGGCCCCGCCCCCGGGCCTTGCTGAGATGGTGATTGACACTGGGCGTGGTGGCGCTCGCCTGTAATTGAAGCTCTTGGGAGGCTGTAAACAGGAAAATCACTAGGGGTCCGATCTAGTAGTGAGACCCTGAACACCCTGTAGACCCTTCCCTAAAATATAGAAAAAAAAAAGTTTGTGCTTTCACAGTGATTGGTGAAAATCACTTAGAAGGTCCTGTCCACTGGGCTGTCCCAGTGTCTTGGTGTGCCCTGTGACCTCGTGACAGTGCTGTGCCACTGAGTGCCACTCTGTGGATGAGGCCCTCCTTGTGTCCTCATGCTGGGCTGGACACTTGTTTCCTGCTGGTGTGTGTCCCTCTGGCTGTGTCGTCGTGCGTGGCGCCACGTCTGTGGCATCTGCTGCATGGGCTCAGAGGCTGTTCCTTGACTTGCCTTTCTGGTTGCGTGTGCTCAGAGGGCCTGCGGGTGCCACGTTAGTACGCCTCAGCGGTCGTGGGGAGCCGCGCGTCCTGCACCCGGCCAGCGCAGCTCATTGTGGCTCTGGTTTCTTCCCCCTCTTGGGCGGGAAGAGCAGCCAAGTGGGCCTCCCCTTCAGCCTCCCGGCTTGCCCTTGGGAGCTTGTGATTTGTTTTAACTGCTATTTATTTTCTTTCTTGTTTTTTAAAATATTGGAGACTGAGCTCAGGGACACTTGAGCTACCCTCCGGTGCCCACCACTTTTTATTTTGGTTTTTGACTTTGGGTGTTGAGACAGGGTCTCACCATGTAGTTCAGGCTGGCCTTGAGCTTACTATGTAGCCCAGGCTGGTTTTGAACTGGTGACCCTCTTGCCTCAGCCTCCCCAGTGGCTAAGATGACAGATGCTGCTGCCTTAACTGTTTTGGGGGCCAGACCATGAACCAGCCTTGCCTTAGGGTCACCT